TTTATTCTATATCCTGTAATACCTACCTCACAGCATTGAAAATGAGATAAGCATATAAAGTGCTTAGCACAGGAGCTGGTGTGTAGGGTGACTTGTTATTCTTCATGAATGAGGAAAGCAGGTTGCAGAGTAACATGTACCATAGATTGCCTTCTTGTATATATCTAAAGGCCTGCACCTCCTTAGGAGTGTATTTAAGAGGCAAAGCAGGAAGCAGAGCCGGCTTCCTGGGTGTGAGACCCATGCAGTGGCTCACAGCCCCATGTGCAGAAAGGCTCCGTGCTCCACTTGGTTTAATGCTCTGCTGTCAGCATCTTGAAATTCTTCATCTTTTTTGAACACAGGGCCCCATAGTTTAATTTTGCACAGGGCCCTGCCATTCTGTAGCCCCTCCTGCCAGGAAGGAACTCATGCCAGACTAGCAGCCATGGTGGTCCCTGGGGAAGAGGATTTCTTGTATCCTTCCGTACACTCTGTGTGTTTCCAAGCATTTGTTCTCTTGCAACTTGTACACGTATATCCAAGATAAAATCTAGCCGCCCTGTGGAAACAACGTGGGCTTGTAGTGGGCAGAACTGGGTGAAATTCTGCCTCTACCTGGCTTGCTCACCTTGGATACATTAATTACCCTCCTGAGACTCAGGCCTCTCCTGGAAAAAACTGGGGACCTGCTTTCTACCTCTTCGGGCTGCTATAAGATTGAGTCTGTAGTATAAAGGTGCTTGTTACATAGTTACTGGGTTGGGGATGGGGGGGGCAGGAGAGCAGAAAAACTGACAACACGGCCTGATTTAAATCCCAACTCAGGGAATTCCCTGGTGGTCCAGTGGTTAGGACTCCGTGCTCTCACTGCCAGGACCTGGGTTCAATCCCTGATCGGGGAACTTAGATCCTGCAAGCCGCGCAGCATGGCCGACCTCTGACCCATAACCACCAAGAAAAAAAGTACGTAAATTCCAACTCAGCCAACTCCCACGTAAAGTTGGATCCTTTTTGTATCAACCTCAGTTTTGTCATCAATAAAATGGGGGCAGGACAGACTCACAATCCCTTATTGTCAGTTCCAAAGCCCCCAAAACTCTGAAAACGGCAAGTGTTGAAGTCTGGTACAAACTCACTTGGCTAAATCTCTGACCTGAACTGAGGTGAGGCTACGATCTGGATTCCCCACCCACCGCCCGTCCCCCTCACGCTTTGCCTGCAAGCCACACATTCTCCTGCAGAATGACTCATGGGTTTGATAATGGAGGGCTCTCTGGACGCCCCTGTGGCTGTGAGATGGTGAATCTGGACCGCCCCCCCCCCGCCCCCGCCGCCGCCAGAGCTAGGGTGAGGCTTAGACACCTCGCAGTGGGTCAGAAGCCACGCAGTGCTAGGGGCATGGGCTTGACCCACGAGGAAGGTTGGTTGGTGTTGTTACTTGGTCACCAGATGAATTTGGGCTCAAATCTCCTCTCTGCCCCTTATCAACTGGGCGGGCTTGGGCCACGTGCACAAGGTCTCTGGGTCTCCTAACGTGTGGGTGTTGTTGCCGCATCACGGTGTTTCATCGCGGTAGGCAGGAGCCCGGGGGGACCAGGGAGGAGCAGACACTCCGTCAAGGCGGCCACATTTGTTCGCTTGTTCATTGGGTGCTGAGCGCCCTAGAAGGTCAGGCAGGCAAGCGGGGGCTGCAGAGGGCACCTCGGGGCCTCTGCCTTCAGCGGGGCCCACGCCAGGGAGAGGTTTGAGGAGAGGGCTGCTCCGCTAACTCCCAGGAGGGGAGAGGTGAGGAGGGGCTCCGCCTCCTGTCCTGCACTGAGAAGACCCCACACGGCCCACTCTGGAACCTGGCGACAGCTGCTCAGGAGACCCCGAAAACCCAGGGGCGGGACTTCATTGCATTCACTGGTCCTGCTTGTGCAGCGAGGGACTGGACTATGGCTCTTGGAGAGAGGGGTGGGGACGGGCTTGTTCGTGGCTCCGCGATGCCTGGGACCCAAAGGGTGCGGGGGACGCTCAGGGCTGGCTTCCCTGTGTTCTTAGCTTCAAGTCCCTGCAGGCCCACCCCCTTCGGCCCTGCCTCCCTCCCCCTGCCCCGTCCCTGGCTCCCTGGCTCTCCACCCACCCTCCACCTCAGTACCACCCTTAGGCCCAGACAAGGGGGTACAGGGACTGCAGGCCCCATGCCTCAGGGGTGCCCCAAACTTTGGATCGCCTTCCTCAAAGAGCATCTTCCTGGGTGTCCGGGACCAACAGGGGCCAGAATTGTCATTTAGGTGGGACACTTAACCCCTCAGATGCTTCCAGGAGTTCAGGTCTTCACACCTATGCAGTCAGCCCGGGAGGGAGCCTGGTAAAGGGCGGCTCCCACCGGCCAGCGGGGCATCGCTTCGGGAGGTTGCACGAGACTGGGCTGCAAGGATGGTGACGCCACGCTGATTCTGGATTCCTCCGAATTGTTTATGCAGACAGGAGCCGCGTAAACACCTGCTGGGATCCCTGCACACCGGGGGGCAGCCCTGCTCCAGCGCCGTGATTTTTCTGCAGCTCCTGGAGTATCTCAGGCCCCTCCCACCTCCAGGCCTCCACCCGCAGACACGTGGCACTTCCTGCCTGGACGACTCTCTCCGCACTCTTCCTAGAGGTCTCTGCTCAGACATCACCTCCTCAGAGGGGTCTTGCCTGACCATTCCCGTTATTCCCACCCATTTTTATTTCCTTTGTGAGACTGTGTGTCATGGGCGGGAGCTGGATGGACCCAGGCCCTTGGGTGACTCCCGTTCTGGTGGCTCACGGGGCCCCATCTGTCCTGGTCAGGACCCCCGATTCAGCCCCGAGCACTGCTTGGGATCTATCTGGCTCGTTCCCAAACTGGTGAGCTCTCTGCTGCCTCTGGGTCTCCCTCACCCTTTCTGCCCAGCTCTCAGTCCTGCAGCTTTTCCTTCCAGTGCCACGTCCTCCAGGAAGCCTTCAAACCTTCCCGTAGCCCCTGGGACTTGCTTCTGGCAGCCAAGCCTGCGGCTCACCTGTGAGGCTGGAGCAGCTCTGTTTCCTCACACCCGTCCCCCACCCCCACCCCCGCAGGGTTGGCTTGGCTCACAGGAGGCTCCTCTTTCGAGAGATGTTGGTGGAAGGAATAAATGAGGGAAAATGTGTCTATTTGTTTAACAAAATTGGGATCATGCTGGGCATGCTGGTTTTGTTTTTTTAAGACAGCTTTTTAAAAAATGTCTCACATCTTGAGCATTTTCCCTTTCCATTAAATATTCTTCCACACGATTCTGAGGACGGCACACTTTTTCATCTTTGGTGCCGTAACTTTTTCAAAGCAACCCCTGCTGTTGAGCGGCAGGCTTCATTAAAGGAAGCAGCTTCGCTAAATGGAAGATGAGTTACAGCGAGTCCTGTGTGTGTAAGGGATGCTCGGAACACATCTCCCGCACCTTTTTTAAAAATATTTATTTATTTATTTATGGCTGCGTTGGGTCTTCGTTGCCGCTCACGGGTTTTCTCATTGCGGTGGCTTCTCTTATCGCAGAGCACGGGCTCTAGGCGTGCAGGCTTCAGTAGTTGCGGCACGCGGGCTCAGTAGTTGCGGCAGGCGGGCCCTTGAGCCCGAGGACTTCAGTAGCCGTTAGTTGCTCTGCAGCATGTGGGATCTTCCCGGACCAGGGCTCGAACCCATGTCCCCTGCATGGGCAGGCGGATTCTTAACCACTGCGCCACCAGGGAAGCCCCTATGTATGTATGTACTTGGTTGTGCCGGGTCTTCGTTGCGGCATGCAGGGACGCAAGAGGTCTTCGTTGCCGCTTGCGGGATCTTTAGTTTCCCCTGCACATTTTAAATGTCCCTCCCCAATGACCTAGGGTGGGGAGAAGGGGTGGGTGGGAGGAAGCTGTTGGTCCTGATACCAGACTGCCCCTGGCTTTTGGTGATTTTGAGTTCAGAGAAGGGGATTTGGACAGGGAGGAGGGATCATGTCAAAGGCAGCGGGAAACACCTAACGCCCCCTCTCTCTTGTGGGGCTGCACCCCTGCCCCTGCTTTCTGGGTCCAGGACCCAGAGGACCTTTCTAGTCTCAACAAGGGGCCCCTGGAAGACTGGGGAGGGGGGGTCCCCGTGGGAAGGCAAAGGCAGCAGCACAAGCATCACCTACGACAACCCACCCTGGATCTCCCTTTCTTAAGGGCCTGAGCCAAGGTCCTCCTGTCTCTTTTTACCACCACGCCCTCTTCCTGGGAGTCCGACCAGTGTGATCAGAGGCCTGATGCTCGGTTTCATGCTCTGCTTGAAAAGCCATCTGGAAATTCTTAGTTTCCCTTTGTACGTTTCCCCTTTGCACGTTACACACGGATCCTGCCAGCACCCGTCCTCCTGTGCCATGCAGCAACACGGGGCCCTTCAGCTTCTGAACCAAGTCAGGCCCAGGGGGTCTGGATCCCGGCCTGTCCATCACCTTAGCCCCCTGTCTGCCCCCCCCCCCCCCTTTCCCCTGTGCTGTGAAAATCCCAGTAGAGGCTGCGTGAAGGACCATTGTGAGACCTGAGTGAGTTAACTGGGTGAGGATTGCTTAGAGCAGTGCCTGGTACTTGGTAAGCACTGGTTATGATCACTCCCGCTCAGGACCCTGGAACTTTCCAGACCTTTGTCTTTGCCTAGTTAGCCTGTAGAGCAATGAAGTCTTCTGGAAATAGGATCTGGCTGGGACAGGAGGGAACACGGTTAGAGGAAAGAAGCTGCAGTTATGGGCTTCCCTGGTGGCGCAGCGGTTGAGAGTCCGCCTGCCAATGCAGGGGACAGGGGTTCGAGCCCAGGTCCGGGAAGATCCCACATGCCGCAGAGCAACTAAGCCCGTGCGCCACAACTACTGAGCCTGCGCTCTAGAGTCCCTGAGCCACAACTACCGAGCCCGCGTGACCTAACTACTGAAGCCCGTGCTCCTAGAGCCCATGCTCCGCAACAAGAGAAGCCACTGCAATGACAAACCTGTGCTCCGCAACAAGAGAAGCCCCCGCTCGCCGCAACTAGAGAAAGCCCGCACGCAAAAAACGAAGACCCAACGCAGCCAAAGTAAATAAAAATCTATTTTTAAAAAAGCTGCATTTAGAAGGTTCCAGTGAAATGTTCAAGGTGATAAAGTGAAAGAAACTGGCTCAAACCAGCTTCAGCCAAGAGGCCTGGGCCAGGGGGAGGTGGGAGCCGGCCTGCTGTGCCTCCAGCTTCACACTCCTCCCTTCCCCAATCCCAGAGGCTGGGGAGCTCCACGGTGAGGGAGGGAGGCCGGGCAGGGCAGCAGCCTCCTGATGTGTGGTTTGGAGGCCAAGCAGGGCGAGGAGGGCACCTGGGGGTCTGGCGATGGCGGCCCCATACCCTGCTTTCTTCTGCATAGCGCATACTGCCTTGCAAGGTATTGTTTTTTCCTGTAGCATCTGCCCCTCCCCTCCCCCCAAACCGCCCACCCTTTGAATGTCCTCAAGGGTGGGGACGTTCGTTGATCACCCTGTATCCTCAGGACGTAGGACCGTGTTTGGTGGCATCTGACAACGTGTCGAATGAGTGAGTGAAACCTGTAGCCCCCTGGCCCTCGACGGTGACACCTGCATGTGGCAGAGGAGAGAAGTGGACGGTGAGGCAGGTTTCTGCTTAGGCCACTGCGGGGCGGTAAGGGTGGGACAACTTTCACCAAAGCAGGAAGGGAATGCAGGATGAGGGCAGGTTGATGGGAAGTCGGGCTGGGGGCAGATTCCTTGGAGGTGACTGCCGCGTGCCCAGGTAGAGAGGCCACCAGGCTGCTGCAGAATCAGCGGGGAGCTTGGGAGGAAAGCCCAGGAAGGAGCTGCAGCCGGGCGCCCCAGGCACGGGAGCTGAGCAACGGGAAGAGGCAAGAGCTGGGCTGAGCCGCCGGCTCCAAGCTAAGCCGGGAAAGCGCCTCTGGAATAACCTGCCCCTTGCGCACAGGAATTGAGAAAAGAACAAGAAGTTTGGGGAAGTACACAATATACTGGGGCGCACAGTATCTGCCCCAAACCACCAGCAGCCCAGGCACAGCAACACAGGGGTTGCTCATTTTCCCATCCCTGGAGGGAGCTGGGTAGAAAGGAAGGTGAATTCCCTGTCTTATAATTTATTAGCTTAGCAGGATCACCACGCACTTAACCCGACCGGCCGCAGGGAGCGGGGGCTGAGCGCAGCGAGGCGCGGCTGGGACAGAGGTGGCGTTAACCCAAAATTGCCACAAGGTGGCGCCCGTGCTCCCCTGAAGCCCAAACAGGAGGCCCAGAGGCTGGAGCAGCGGGAGCCGGGGGAGAAGGCGGTGGGCAGCCGGAGGGCTCCGCTCCGGGCTCCACCTTAGCCTCTTTGTCGGGGTGCAGCCTCGCATCCCATCCAGCCCTCCTGTGGGGGTGGGAGCGGCACAGGAGTGTGTGTGTTTGGGTGCAGTGTGTGTGTGCAGCGTGTGTACATCCAAAGCTGGCCCCTAAACCAGGGGAGGCTGGAAAACCCCAGGTACAGTGACTGCGAGCACAGCTTCCAACAGACTTAGGCTCAAACCCCTGATCAGCCCCTTCGTGCCGCACGTGGCTTCCCCGCTCTCTGCCTCGGTTTTCCCACCTGTTAAACAGGAGCATAATGCTGAGACTTCAGGGGCTTGTTGTGAGGAGTAAATAGAGGATGATGATGATAAACGTCTACTGCGCTCTCCCTGAGGGCCAGGCGCTGTTCTAAGCACGCTCCTGTACTAGTCCATTCTCACAGCATCCTCTCACATGGGAGTGGCTGGGGACCGGAGGCCGAGGCCCCTGCACAGAGGAAAGGAGGCCCCTGGGTGCTGCTGAGGGGGGCAGCTACCCCCAGGGGCCGGGGGAGGAGGGACCGCCTTTGATGCTGAGGGCGGGAACCTGTCTTGCTTGCTCACGGGGACAGCACACGGCTCCGTGTGGTCTCACAGCCACAGACGCTTCTGGGAAAGGGGCCCCTGTCGCGGCAGAGGTCGCTCGGTGGCGTGTGGCAGCGAGCGAAGGCCACAGCACGACGCCACGGTCCCCACCTCAGGGACCGCGGGGCAGCAGCGCCTTCCGCAGGGGCGGGAGAGCTCTGTGGAATGTTGGGGGGAAGCCCAGCAGCAGCTGGAGGTAGGGGGGTGGCCAGGAAGCAGGTGGGTGCGGCACAGGGGGCTAAAGCACAGGGGAGGCCCCGGGGGTCAAGGTCTCGGGGGGGCCAGGCCAGCGAGAGGCTTGGGGGTGGGGACTCAGTGGGGAGGGTCCCCAGAAGCCCCCGTTTGCCCGCCGGTGTCTGTCCTGGGGCAGGGCAAGCAGGGTGAGGTGGGCTTCACGACCCTGGGGTCGGGGAGAGCTGGGGTCAAGGTGAGGCCTCGGGCCCGGATGGGGAGCGGCCTTTGCGGGGTACCCTCCCCACCCCATCACCTCGCTGCTCAGGCCACCTGGAGTCCCGCCTCTTTTCCCTGGGGCCCCGTTCTGATGATGCTTCTCAGACACATAGAGAGAGAGAAAGAATTGGGGCTACCCCAAGTTCCAGGCCTGCGAGGGAAAGCAAGCTCTGACCTCACCTGAAGTTCTGAGTCCTTTGGACCGTGGGCCCGTTGAGGTCATAAACACCTGATTTTGGATTGGGGGGGGGGGCGGTGCCCTCCCTCTGAGGCTGTCATCTGGGTGCCTTCCCCTCCCTGACGCCCCCCTTCTCCTCTCCTGGTCCTCCCAGCTCACACATTCCAGGAACCAGAACCTCAAGGGTTGCCCTCAGCTGCCGGCCCCGCCCCCATTCTTCCCACCAGCTCAGATGTGCTGAGATGCAGGAGCCAGAAACGGCCCTCCCCTCCCATCCTCCCCTCACCCACTGCGCACTCACAGGCCCAGAACAAAAACACACCACAAATAGAAATCGAAGTCTGAGAAAGAATCAAGGAGCCATGACCCAGCCGTGGGAAAGGCTGTGTGGCCTCCACCAAGTCACTTAACTTCTCTGGGTTTCTTTGCTTACCTGCAAAATGGGGTAAAGTTACCATCCTTGAGGAGTTGTTATCAGAAGGTGAGAGAAGGGGCTTCCCTGGTGGCGCAGTGGTTGAGAGTCCGCCTGCCGATGCAGGGGACGTGGGTTCCTGCCCCGGTCCGGGAGGATCCCACATTCCGCGGCTGGGCCCGTGAGCCATGGCCGCTGAGCCTGCGCGTCCGGAGCCTGTGCTCCGCAACGGGAGAGGCCACAGCAGTGAGAGGCCCGCGTACTGCAAAAAAAAAAAAAAAAGTGAGAGAAGATGTAAAATGCGGGATGCAGGTGTGATGTTTGGTCTAAAGAAAAGCCCCTCCTGGGCAAAGGGTTCTTTCTGGATTCTCCCCACCACACTCCCATGCTCAGGCGGGGCTGCCCGCTCACCACTTTTCTGTAAGACTGCGGGTGGAAGGGGGCTGCCACGGTCTCCGCTGGGTAGTGCTTCTGCAGCCTTGCTCTCCAGCTCCACTTCCTGTTTTTCTCCCCAACGAATTTTGCACCATTGCTCTTTCATCAGGGCGAGCTGGTGGGTGGTGGGGTGAAGGCGGAGGCCTGCCTGGGAAGGCAACCTGGGGAAGCCAGAGAGAGGGGTGCGCGTGTATGCCCTGCCCCCCAGCTACAAGCTCTGGACTCCGTGGGCTGCTGCTCAGCGTAGACAGGATGCTAGAACCTGGGAGGCTGGTGGGGGGAGGCTAGGAGCCCGCCTGATGGGAGGAGCAGGGGTTCCTACGTCCTCATCCTCAAATGGGAAACAGCATTTGTTCCTACGCTAGGGGCAGGACCTAGGGATGGACTGAACCAGGCTGAAGCCACATCTCTGGTGATATGAGGGGTGGAGGGGCCACTCTGAAAGGTGAGTCCAGCCTCCCTGCCTCCCTGAGGCTGTTAGGCCTCCGAGCCTCCAGTTTCAGTGTCACTGGGTGTCAGGTTCCTGCTGGAAGGAAATGAAAGAGCTGTTTCCATACTGGCTGGGACCAGAACTTTCCTCTCCCTTGGCTACAGTCCCCTGACCCTTCTCCTGGGCAAAGCCTGACTTGTCCGGCCGTGACTGTGCCATTCATTCATCCGATTCATTCAGCATTTCTACAGACTCACTTGCAACAGTCTCTGGGTGCCCGACACGGAGCTCAGGGCCGGGGAGCCAGGCCAGGTCCGTGCAGAGCCCCTGACCCCAGGGAGCAGCTGAGCACACAGGCAGTCACGGTCGAGCAGACCAAGTCTGCAGTGGGGATGGTACAGCCTGGAGTAAAGATGGGGACCCGCTCGGGGCAAGGGAGCCAGGTGGGTAACACCTGTGCTGAGTAGCCAGGTAAATAAAGTATGGGGTAGGGGCAGAAGGGGGAGCTGGGAAGGGTGCTCCAGGCAAGGGGAACAGCACGAGCAAAGGCCCAGAGTCAGAGAGAGAGCCCGGGCTGCTCTGGAGCCGCAAGTCACAGCTCACGGTACAGCATGGAGGGCAGCCCGCAGCCCTGGGGGGCTAGCTGTGTCGGCTCCCTTGGTTCCCCACGTCTACTGTGTTCTCGAACCTCAGCCTCACCGGATACCCCAGTATAGGTCGCTGTCCCACCATATGTGTGGTTCTGAGAATCAGAAATCAGCGCTGTTAGCTCCAAGAGGAAAGGGGACTCCATGGCCGATGTATAGGATGTGCCCATGGGACCCAGAGACGCAGCCCAGCTTTGGGGTGATGGGACCAGACAGCCCTGGACACTCTCTCAGCGCTGCTGGCTTGTTCCCATTTGCCCACCTGCATCGCATCTGCCAAGCTGATGGATCCTGGATCCCTTCACCCAAAGAGAACCATGTCCAGGTCCCAAGCCCATTTCCGGAGAAGGAGTTGACCCTCCTCTCTTGGATCAAGGCCTCCCTTCTGGCCCAGAGAGCTATGGCTAGTGGTCAAGTTTCTGTTCCGAGTTGCCTGTCCTCATGACCACACAAGGGAGGGTGACCAGAAAAGGGGGCTGGATAGGCGGTCTGTCCTGCCCAGTACCCACAGCCTTGCTGTTCTCCTTCGGCTTTCCCCAGACATCTCCGTTCCAGTTGCCCTTGCTTAACCTTGACACCACAAACTCAACCACAGATGCTTCGCCCCCCACGCCAAATGCGAGGCAATCCAAGCCCTGTCAAACGATTGCGCCCAGGGCTCCGTCCTCAGAGCTGCCGTCTCCAGCTGATCCCCACCCCCCTCTATTTCTGCGGAATCTCCTCTGCGGTGGCCCCTCAGGATCCCCCTCGATTGATAGACTAAATGATCAATTTAACCTCCCCTACCGTACTTGATCTGTAGAGCAAAAAAGGGAAACTCCGTACAGAGCACACAGCATGGCCTTCTAGACGGGCACAGTAAATGAAACTTTAGGAATAAGCTATCACGTGGGGTTTGCTCTGCTGGTTACCTACCTCGGCTCCTCTGTTGGCAAGTGTGGCTGCCCCAGGTTCTGCCCACTGGGAAGAGACCCCTTGTCTAGAGTCTTTCAGGCCTGCCCTTGAGAGGTTCTTGGGAAGGCTTTTTCTAGAAGAGGATGCAGCTGCCCCGGCAGCCTGCTTCTTGTTGGTGCCAGTACTTGGGCCTGGGAAACGCCCAGAGGGTAAGACATCACAAGCCCCAACTTCCAAGTTTTAGGGTTTCCTGGAGTTTCAACCCCCATAAAATCCTAGTTGGTTGCGTGTCGATTTTACTTTGGGTCGCGTCATTTACTAACATCCAATTCCATGAAATCCTGCCCAGTTCAATACTCAGCCTTAGGCTGGGCCGTGCCCCAGGGCTGGGTTTCTTAGCAGCAAGCATGGTGGCCAGTTTCTTCTTTTAGCCTAAAGATGAGAAGAGGAATCATCATCTGACTTGGGGTGGAAAGAAGACTTTTTCTCTAAATTCTCTTGGGATGTTACCCCTGCCTGCCCTCTGGCCACTTGACAAAAGGAGGCTTTAGAGAGACCGGAGGTTAAGGGTTGTCCACTCCTGTGGCTCTTCCCAGATAGCCCCATTCCAACCGCTAAGCTCGCTGCCTTTTCTGTTCAGTGCTCCCTGAGCGTTAGGAACAGGGTGAGACAGAGAACGTGGCTGCCGCTTAGAGCAGGTGTATGATTAGCAGACCCTGGGTAGCCACCAGCTATGGGAGAAAAGCATTTCTGGCAGCCTGGACATTTTGCTACCAAGTTTCCTGAAGTATCAGCCTCGATTGGTACATGTTCTGGGCCACATGAGACCATTGAAAGTAATTTTTTTAATAAATTTATGTATTTATTTATTTTTGGCTGCGTCAGGTCTTTGTTGCTGCGCACGGGCTTTCTCTAGTTGCGGTGAGCGGGGGCAACTCCTTGTTGCAGTGCGTGGGCTTCTCATTGTGGTGGCTTCTCTTGTTGTGGAGCACGGGCCCTACGGCGTGTGGGCTTCAGTAGTTGCAGCACATGGGCTCAGTAGTTGTGGCTCGTGGGCTCTATAGCACAGGCTCAGTAGTTGTGACGTGCGGGCTCAGTAGTTGTGGCTCTCAGGCTCTAGAGCACAGGCTCAGTAGTTGTGGCACACGGGCTTAGTTGCTCCAAGGCATGTGGGATCTTCCCAGACCAGGGCTCGAACCCATGTCCCCTGCATTGGCAGGCAGATTCTTAACCACTGCACCACTGGGGAAGTCCCATTGAAAGTAATTTAACTGATCTGTTACCACGTACCTAGACCTGCCGGTGTCCTGTCCCAGGATAAGGAACCCTCACTGCCCCTCACTCTACCTCAGGTCACCTAGTTTCAATATTCAATATCCTGTGACAGGGAACTTCCCTGGCAGTCCAGTGGTTAGGACTCTGTGCTTCCACTGCTGGGGGCCTGGGTTTGATCCCCAGTCGGGGAACTAAGATCCCGCAAGCTGTGAGGCATGGCCCCCAAAAAAATGTTTCAAAAAGTATCCTGGAGGCAGAGTCAAGATGGTGGTGTGGGAAGACGTGGAGTTAGTGTCTCCCTACAATTAGGGCACCTGCTGGCTGCTGGTGGGGGACTCGGACACCCAAGGAGACGGAAGGAGCCCCAAAGTGAACCAGCGGCTTGCGGGATCTCGGTTCATGAGCCCTGGGTCTGGCCGAAGCTCCTGCGGTGGGAGCTCTGAGTCCGAACCACTGGACTAACAGAGAACCTCAGACTCCAAAGAATATTCATTGGAGTGAGGTCTCATGGAGTTCCTCATTTCAGCACCAAGATCCAGCTCTACCCAATAGGCTACAAACCCTGGCGTTGGAAGCCTCAGATCAAACAACCAGTAAGACAGGAACACAATTCAACTCATCAAAAAAAAATGAGACGGCAAAAAATTACATCACAGATGAAGGAGCAAGGTAAAAACCTACAAGACCAAATAAATGAAGAGGAAATAGGCAATCTACCTGAAAAAGAATTCAGAGGAATGATAGTAAAGATGATCCAGAATCTCAGAAGTAGAATGGAGGCATGGATTGAGAAAATACAAGAAATGTTTAACAAAGACCTAGAAGAACTAAAGAACAAACAAACAGAGATGAACAACACAATAACTGAAATGAAAAATACCCTAGAAGGAATCCATAAGAGAATAACGGAGGGAGAAGAACGAATAAGTGAGCTGGAAGACAAAATGGCAGAAATAACTGCTGAGGAGCAGAATAAAGAAAAAAGAATGAAAGGAATTGAAGACAATCTCAGAGACCTCTGGGACAACACTAAACACACCAACATTCGAATTACAGGGGTCCCAGAAGAAGAAGAGAAAAAGAAAGGGTCTGAGAAAATATAGAGATTATAGTTGAAAAGTTCCATAACATGGGGAAGGAAATAGTCACCCAAGTCCAGGAAGCACAGAGAGTCCCACAGGATAATCCCTAGGAGAAACACACCAAGACACATATTAATCAAACTAACAAAAATTAACTTCAAAGAAAAAATATTAAAAGCAGCAAGGGAAAAACACAAAATAACATACAAAGGAATCCCATAAGGTTATCAGCTGATTTTTCAGTGGAAACTCTGCAAGCCAGAAGGGAGTGGCAGGATACACTTAAAGTGATGAAAGAGAAAAACCTACAACCAAGATTACTCTACCCAGCAACAAGGATCTCATTCATATTCAATGGAGAAATCAAAAGCTTTTCAGACAAGCAAAAGCTAAGAGACTTCAGCACCACCA